AAAGAGTGGTAGAGTTAGTAGAAACCTTCCTCACTTAAACACCAATTACTTAGTCAGGAAATATTCTTCAGAAATTTTCCAAATCATAGCTAAAACACTTACTTTTGATATTTTAAGTTAATTAGTATGAATTAAACTGAGACAAGACATCTTGACAGCTCTAATAATTTCTAAACTGTGTCATTTGAGGAATGTCCACCCCATAGGCTCTTGGGATTTCAGTCTGGTTTAGAGCAAAAGGAGACTTCAGATGTAGTCTCTGTGGAGTTGAGGCACCAAGTTCTGATGGATGTTTGCCCAGACACATGGGAGAGGCCAGGAGAGCCTTCTGCTTCCACCTTTCTGAGAGTCAAACAAATCCTTAGGCTATCAAAACAAGCTTTCACCCAACACCCACTGCAGCTGATGGATTTCAGTGCTACCCAGGCTGGGCCCACAGAAGAAGAAAAATGAATTCAACCAAAATAAATTGCTACTAGGTATTGCTACTACTACTGCTTGTTTCTGGGCTAGAAATGTAATGAACTGTATTGCTCAAGTGTTCTCCCTAGGAGTGTGTTAGCTTTTCTTAACTCTTTCTGCTTCATGACCTGTGGGACAGTACATCGGCCACAGCCCCTGTGCCCAAAGGGATGTCTCCCTGCTCTTTTCCAGGGACATACATATACTGCAAAGGACTTACTGCTGTCCCCAGCGGCGTGGGCACTCTTGCTGAATGTAGGCTCACTAGTTTCTCAGGCACTAGCTCCTGGGCATTTGAGCAGGTGGCCTTTTTGGCAGCCTGTCATGGTGTCAGGTTTGAAGACAAGGTGTCTTCAACCTTGCCAGTGGAGTAAGATTGAGGAAACTTGTTCTGGGCATCTGACTCTTTGCCATGTCAGCAAAGCTTGCTGCAGATATGGGATAGTATCGCATAAGCATGTTTTTGAGTTAGGAATGAAAAGCTAAGTATTGTTTCTGACCTTTCTTTGCAGCCATCTTCTCTTCCTCTTTTTTCTTCTCTTCCTCCAGAGCTTTCATTTTTGCATCATACTCATCAGCACGAGTCTTCCACTCGTTTCTGTTGTTCAGCAGCCCATCAAGCATAGGCTGAATTTCCTCATGGAAACGGGAAAATTCCTAACCAAAACATACCCGTCAGCACAATACAGTGCAGACGCAGTGCTTGTCCATCATACCCCAGGATGGACCCCAACACCTCACCTCCCAGGCTGGCTTATGCAGGGAAAGTGTTAATGGCACAAAGAGGGACCATGCTGCAATGCCCCAGAGAGGGGCAGCTGTTGTCTCCTCTACTGCACCAGGACTCACTCACCTGGGATTTGAACCCCTGTTGAGAAGGATGGGGTGTGCAAGGGTGCGCTTTGCTTACCTTATAGACAAATGTGCACACAAAGTCGATGAAACCCACTTGAAGCTTTGGAAGCTCAGCAGCTTTCCTCCGGTCCATCATGGGCTGTGGGAGGATACAAGTTCACCATGATTTATGAGAACACTTCATTGAAAAACACACCTCTATTTTCTCCCCAAAACTGCCTTGTTGTGTTAGCCTGGCAGTTCTGCCATGCCGTCCCTAAAGGCTGTCCATCACAGCCCTCTCCCTCCACTGCAGAGGAGTGAAGTGGGCTCATTTCCTTTGCCATTTTAGCAGAAATTTTAGACAGCTCTTTCAGTGTCTATGGATGGGGAGGAGGACAGAGTTTTTCCCTTGTGCCTCTCAACCAGATATCTGTGAGAAGGTTCATGTAATAAGGTTCTGAAGAGGTTTTCAATTCTCTAAAACATAACTGAACATAAAATTATATTCTTATAAGGCCTTGTTGCTTACTGTATCATTTGTAATGCCTCTGTGGGTAGAAGGGGTGTATGAAAGTCTACTTAAAGAAAACCCAAACCACACAGGTGGAGGCCACATGAAGGAATGACTCCTGGCTCTTTCAATGCCAAATTTAAGATTTGTTATTATAGTAGAAAAAATATGTTAAGAAACACTGCTTTAACACACTTCCATTCACCAGAAATAATTTCTAGACTCTACGAAGTTTGTGTTTGTAGTTTTTCTCTTTATTGGAAATTCTGCTTTCCTCTACAATGTATGTATTTCATTTTCCTTTTTTCTCTAAGGAACCAGCAAAACGTCGCCAGGGGGACAGTCACTCCTTGCTGGTTCACAGCCACAGAGACTCATCTGACTATATAGAGAGCTGGACAAAAGGCTCTGTCACAGAGGGTCTTCCCCAGCTGAGTACCCACTTTTCCAACGGATTTTGGCAGGAAAGGTGATTTCAGGAAGACTCACAACACTCTGAGAGCAGCATTGGTTGTAGTAAGTCTCTGCTGAGACTTGCTGTCTGAACTGAACTGTTTGGCTCTCGCATGGTACTTACAATAGGCTGTTGCTGAAGGACGCTTATTTCTAAGTCTCCTTGCTCCCAGAACTCAGCTGCTACCAGGAGAGCTACCTACATTGCCAAGGAGGAAAAAAGAAAAGTTAGCATTGACTTTGGCTTTATAACTTGATGCACTTCAGGTCTCCACCATGAAGCAAATCTCACTTCTAGCCCCTCTGTCGCTTCATGTCCAACCCCAGCCTTTCTGCTGGGAAGGGCAGCAGTGGCAATGGGATTGCACCCGTGTAGTGACAGCTCAACAACCATATTGCACTGGAGCTCATTAGTCCACTGCTCATCTGTTAAGAAACATTTCCAATGTGTCCCTCTCAAGGATTTCCCTCTTGGTCACAGTTGTGACTGCCTATTATGATTTTCTCAGTTGTCCTTTCTCCATGCTGAACAGGAAGGTGGGTTTTATTTCTTTTATCCTCCTTTAAATTTTAATGGTTCTTACTTAGCAATTGCTCAAATACAGTTCAGGAAGGAACTCCTAAAGGAAATTAAAAAACTGAGCAAACAGCAGGTATTGCTGTAAAAAAACCAACACATATGTTACATGCAAAAACGCTCACTGTAACCCAAGAAGAAAAGTACTTGGGATTTTTTCTTTTCTTTTTTTGGTAAACATGAATTTTCTACAGAATTCGCAACTGCAATCTTAAAGATTGGTTTATCCATCAAAACCATAGTTATTCTGAAGTCCTTTTGGTAGTTTTGGTAGGACACTTTGATTCAACTTCTAGGCAGCTAAGGAAATTGCATTACTTTGAAGTATAAGCTAGAGAAATCTAACAGTATATGAAACACCTGACCTTACTCTGGACTTCCCAAGGCTTTGTGATTGCTGACAAATCACAGGCAGTCATCATCATGGCCCTAAAAACAGGAAAGAAATTAGTTCCTTCTCTGCAGCATGCACTCTACCTCTTGCAGGCTCAGGATGCTCATACCCCAATACTGTGTCAGGTATCCCCTGATCCCTGCTGAAGTGATAGATAAAGAAAGACGGGTTGCTGTAACAGCATTGGCTCTGACTGGGACACTCATCAAGAATTGCTCTCTTGATTAAAATGGATTTATGCTACAGAACTCCTTGCTTCTGGCACTGGGATGTTTGCTGCTTTAGTCATTGCTGGGCTGTGAACTTCTTGACTTTGGAGTAACACCTTTGGCTCCCTCATGGAGGTGTAGCAGTGCAGACTGCAGTGAGGTTGTGGGTGCACTTCATCACCAATGCAAAGCATCCTGCAAAGCATCTGTCCGGTCACAACAACAGTATTGTGCAACTCAGAACAACTAATGGATTGGATTCCTGTAGATCTGCTCATTGCAGCCTGCCCTGGTTGTGGCCTACAGGTTGGTCTGGTAGGAATATACAGCCAGAAGGGATCCTGCATCTTGTTAGGAGTATATGACCCCAAAACCAGTCACTTATCTGGATGAAGAACCACTTTAAGCTTTTTTCCCTGTTTTTTTCCTGGCTTTTTACCTGCTTCTCCAGAAGATCAGATTTGAGTGGATGGTAAAGTATCACATGCAGGTTTTGCACTAAAAGTGCAGCGCAAAGCACAATCTGGAGCTTTTACCAGGTGACCTAATCACTAACCCTTCCAGAACCGATTACTCACATGACAACCTCTTTCTTTGTTGTCTCCAGAGACAGGTATTCAGTCCAGGCAGTCATGCTATCGTATGTCTTGGACTCGTCAACAATCTTTTGAAACATTGTTCTCTTTCTTTGAGGGGGAAAAAGAAAAAAAAGTAAAAGCTCCAAAACAAGGAAAATGTGTTAAAACCAGATGGGTGATCCTAGTATTGATAACCCTTCCAGAAGGGTTTGCAGTAGTTGCTGTCCTGGCATTTAAGTCCTCAGCGAAGCCCCCAACAAAAGCAAGCACCATCACCTGTGTCTCTTAAGTAGGAGAAACTATTGTAAATGTCTTAAAAATAAGTATAGTAGTGAGACATGAGCAGGAACTTGAAAGTCTGAGCTACTGCAAGTTATGTCAGCTGAGAAATGCTTCCACCTTTGTTGGCAGCACAAGAAGTCTTTTTCCCTGAATGTTAAGCAAACTGCGTATATCTAGAGCTGGCTGGAGTATTTGTAAAGCTACCTGTATATACTTAGTCTGACCTTGTTAACCTTATTTATATACCTAAATATATTTAGCAAATTTTGGGGAGGGGTTTATACACAACACACTCATGTTTTGAGTGGCATGAAATCTGGAAGAATCTGCTGTTTCAGTGCTAGGAGAGGAGACATTTAGGCCAGATCCACAAAGCAACTTGCTATGTGTTCTGTCCATATCACTTTGCCTGGGTCTGATTTCAACAAGCCTTCGCTCGCAGACCATGGACCAAGGAGGGCAAAGACCAGCTTGTTCCCACCTGGTAAGGAAGTGGTAGTATCTGCTCCCATATAGCCACCCTACCTCCAGAGTAAGAGGACTGGGTATTGCACCCTCCCTCATATTGCTCTTTTGTGGACTGTTTATATTTTGCATAATCATTCTTCAGTGCAAAACACAGAAGCAGTCTCTGGTCTCAGCACTGTATTTTGAAAGCATATTTTGAAAGCTCCTTGCTTATTAGGAAGTCATATGTTGTTGACTTCCAGCCTTGTGTCCCAGGAAGTCAGGGCATGCTGCTCCAAGATGTTTGGCATTTTTGGCTTTTCGGTGTGAAACAGGCTATGAACTGTTATTTGGGTTGTGCTGCTCTCTCAGACAAGTTAATGTAGCCCTGGCCAGGCCATTCACAGTTTATTAATATTTTTAGTGCTGAAATGCTAGGTAAAAAAAAAAAAAAATCAGCCGTCTCTTTCTGTTAGTGGATCATATAGCCCTGCCTTGTTGGAAATAGAGGATTAAAAAGCCATGTATGTAATCTAATGAGTAAAAGTTCCAAATTATTTTGAACAATCTAAGTTCTCCCCACCAGCTCTGATGTCAGTGTTAGAGGCAGCCTCCCAGAGGCAGTGTCTGTGAAGAGGATTGGTGCACAGTGGGGCTCGCAGAGCAAAGCATCACATTTTGCCTTTGTAAAGTACCAGCTGCTTTCTGCCCTTCACACATGGTGTACGTGACCAACTTACTTGAAGTAGAGTGCCAGGTCTGTTGCTATAATGGCAATTTCCATCAGGTGAATCATGTGCTCATGCTGTCTGCGGTTGAGGTTCTGACATATATTCAGCGACTGAAAAGCAAAGAAAGGGAGCTGCAAAATCTAAGCACTGTGTTGTGAGTTACTGGCCACCACCCTTTCTCAAATATGCTCACTTTTTTTTTTAAATAGCTTCAGCTTGCTCCCCTAAGGTGCAAGGGTTGTGAGCCCCATTCATTGTATGTTGGTCCCTAGTCTCCCCTTTTGTTCACTGAATAAGGTCAGTGTCCTGAAGCTTGTTACACAGTGTGTGCACAAACCCTGGCCCCTGGCCCCAGTGCAAATTTACCTGAAATGAAAAGTTAGCTTGGGAATTGTGTCAGCCTTGGCCCTGTCAGAGGGTCTACAGGAAGACAGTCGTGTACTTAACATGGGGATAACGATATGGCTTCTGAAGAAACCAAATCATGCATTTAGGAAGCCTATGCATTTTGGTCCTGGGTGAGCATAGAGTACTTGGGGAGTGAGGCAGCTGCAGTTCCTCAGGTATCCAAACCAGAGAAAGGTCTTATGCTAAGCTGACAGCTCTGTTGTTGCTGAAAAACTTCCCTGAAAGTAAGTTATTCCTGTCCTCACATTACAATTCATTACCAACCTCTTCAGAGAGCAAAAATTTTCCAAATTCCAAGTGATGTCTCTCTAAAATTGAGGATCCATGAAGTTTAGCTAGAGGATTTTGAGATCTGGTTGCATAAAGGAAAAATTAAAGATGTTAGTGCAGCACTTAAAAATAAAAAGAAGTGTCCCAATTTATATTTAATTTTGTCGCACACACAAGTTCAACTAATTTTAAAAGGCTTAAGAGTAATATTTTTAATAGCTAATGACTTCACTCTAGTAAAAGACTTCTGTGACACTGCTTGTAACTATTTGGACACTGTATAAAACAGTCTTTCAACTACAAATTTCACCCAAAATGTTGTTTATGACTGGACTGTTATTACTCAGCATAGTAAGCTTGTTTAATTCCTGAATAACTACATGTTGATATCTAGTAATAGGCACAGAAAAACCAGCAGTGCTTGGATGCTTTCCTAGCTGAAAAGCAAGACCCTCTTGTATTCAAAACACCAGCCAGCTTCACTTACATTTTTCCAAGACTCCAGAAAACAGTAAGACAGTATAGCCAGCAAGCATTACAGAAGTGCTGTGATCTGACACTACTTTAAGTGAGCGACAGAGGCTTGACTGGTCAATGAAATCATGCAACTATTTTTCTGTACCTAGAAACTATCTACTGAGAGCAGCACCCTCATACTCATAGGGTGCTTTGTTTCTGCAGGTGGTGAGGGCACTGCCATGCATGGTGCTTTCTCCATAGATACCTTCCAGCAAAAAGTAAGCTTCTTATGTCCAGGACGCTCCTAGTGGCGTCCTGAGTCTCCTGTGATGCTCAGGCTACTAAATGCCTGTGCTGCACTTGTTCCACCCTGCAATGGTAACATAGAGTGTTGCTTTAACAAAAGGAGGTTTACTAGAAGGTTAAGAAAGCCCCAGAGAGCACTGCAAAATTTCAGTTTCCCCACTGGCCAAAGCATAAGCCCAAGTGTTGTAGCAAGCTGAAAAGCAAGGTTATTTCCAAAAGAAGGTTGTTAACCCCTGTGTATGAAACAGAGCTGTACTGGAGTTTGGTGTGATCACAGCCTGATCCCTCTCCACACAAGAGCAACAGTAAATGGTTTGAAGTGGTAGGAAAGTGCTTACTTCATTTGGTAAAGGTTGTTGGTTCCCCTGTGGTCAATATCGTGGCACAAAGCAGCAGTTACCATTGCAAGGGCTTCGAGGTCTGTGTAGTAACGCTTCAGTTTGCCTGTCTGGAGGGTGAGAATTTGCATGTCATCTGTTAGTATCTCTTACAGGAAAAGGTACTGAGCTGTGACTGCTCTGTGCTGGGGATCTCCTTATTGAAACAGTCCAAGAGAACTGAAAATGCTTGTGAAGCTAAAGGCAATACATGGTACATTTAGGTTAACATGGGAAAGCAGCTGGAAACGAAATGTTTCAGACTCAGGTAGGCATGCATGTCGTGCATACATGCTCAATGCCCACCTGTGATGTTGGCTACCTGCTGCTATAGCAGCCTCATGCCCTAGGGACACCCGGGTTCTCTCATAAGCACCCTTCCAGTCACTGGACACAAAGTACTTCATGAAGGGGCTCTGCAGCTTTCTGGGCGAAGAGGTCTCAAAGATGAATGGCCCAAAGGATTGTCTGGGGGTGGTAGGTGTAATTCTGCTGCGAGCTGTATGGGCCATACCCTCTGCACTGGATCCTAGTGATGGTCCATCCCTGGTGTGGCGCAGCAGTCTCACACCTGTTTTTCTTGTTGGGGCACCTGTTGCCCTGAAAGCCTGTGAGAAATGGCACTTGCCACATTCACACTAGCAATGGACTTACACCTGTGCCTGTTCTGCCAGGAAATGGGAAGTGTGAGGTTGTCTCCATCCCAGGCAGCTGAATTCAGTCTGGCTCTTACTGTTAGAAACTATTGGAGGAAGGGAAGTCCTGTAGACTCTCTCCCCTGCCCTGCAGAAGGATATAATCTGGAGGCGATTCAACACCATACACCCCTGTACCTATGAGAATTAAAGCACTCCATTCATTGGGCAGTATTGACCACAGCTTTAAGTGTAATGCAAGGACTGTCACTTAAGGCAAATGGAGACCTCATTTAGCAGGACTTGCGTTCAGAGTAACAAACTCTTATTCTACACCAGGATTCAAAGGAGGCCCTGTGTATCTCCAGGGTGCAACAGAAGACCTCCTGTAAATAAAGCCATGCCACAGAATTAACTGGGGTGGTGTTACCTTACCATCAGGAGAGTGAACATCGTCTGCGCGACATTGAAGCCATGGCGCCAGTTGTGGTAAGTTATCTTCCGGTAGCCTTTGCTGACAGAGTACACAAACCTTACCAGAACCTGCAAATTGGGGAATAGGGTGTTAGTTTGTGTGATGAAGCTGCTGCCTGTTGGACTTGGAGTAAAGACCACATACAGAAGTCATGGATGAGGTTCAGACCAGCTCTACAGCGGTGGCCCCAGAAAGAAATCAGAAGCTGTAATTTCATCAGGCTTCCCTCATGGTGTTATAGTAAAGCCTAGTGGAGAGCTAAAGGGGACACTAAAATATAGCTCTCTGCTTTCTAATATCTTTCTCTTTTTTTCTTTTTTAAAGAAAAATAAAATCACGGAGATACCTGTGGGGGAAACAAGCAACAGCAATGTCTAGAGGAGAAGAAATTTCATCCTGTTTGTGAATTTAATGTATTTCTGTATTTCTCTATGTTGTCATTTGTAGGATTTGTCCCTTCCATGGCTTGTGATTTACTAATACTGATACCTCTCTTCAAGACATCGGGTTCCGTAGATGTAGTAATGAGTGGTGTTTATATCACCTAAACAATTACAATATAGGGCATATAACAATAACAAACTGTTTTTCCCTCTGCATTCTGCTCCTCCACGTGTACTACCTCTTGTAACTGTATAGGTTTTCTCATTAGAGAGCAAATTAATCATGGATGAGCATTCATTTTTTAAAATCCTAGCTGCTCAGAGTGGCAGCAACGAATGACTGCTTTTCACACCTGTATCAGGAGTTAGTTGTTCCAGAGTAGATATTTTGAATACTTTTTGATATTGACATGCTGTAAGTAAGAAACACGGAAGTAATTCCCATTCAGCGCCCTTCACTTCCCTCCTACTTCCCAGCCCGCCTTTCCAGGATGAAAACTCTGCCTGCAGTTACCTCCAGATCCCACTAGATGGAAATAAACCTCACATGACGGGCTGAGAAAGCCCCGGGGGAGCACCGGAGCTGGTGAAATGCCAGTTTCACAAGTCCTACAGGGGCTTGAGCTGTGGCAAAAGCCATGAACTTGCACGTGAGGGGCTATGGGGTCCTTGTTCCCACAGGGTCACACGACTCCTGTCGCCAGCAGTCAGGAAGCTGGTACCAACTGCACCAAATGAAGGCACATCCGTGTTTGCAGGGGGAAGAAAAGCAGAGGGACCTGCCAGTGTTGCCTGAAAGCTATAGGATACATACTGTAGCAGATGAAACATGCACACAAGTATGCGCTGCCCCGTGTTACACCTGAAAACTGTACTTTTACACTGCAGCTGTGGCATTAGACACAGCAAATGCAAGAAATTTTTTGCATAGTCTAGCTGCCGTCTATATAGACCTGATAGCAAACCCACACCAGTAGCAGACAGTGCAGAGCAGAAGAGGCCAGCTTCACCCTCCAAACCCACTTGTAGCGACCAGGGGCTTTGCGAGGGGGTTCCCTGCCCTCAGCAGGGCAAGGGGTCTCAGGACGCACACCCCTCTCCCTGCAAGCCCCCAGGAACCCAGACCTCTGGCTGCTCCATGAGCTGCTCAGGGCACACACGGGGATCTCAGCCATGTGGTGAGTCTGCTCGCCATCCAAGATGGGAGTCCCTGAGTATTTCCAGCTCCTACCTCCTGTGGGATCTGGAACTTTTTCACCACGCCAAGCTCATAGTACATCTGAATGCCGCACTTCACCAGCTCTAGCTCTGTGCAGTCAAAGTCGGAGAACCTGAACTCATAGATTTCAAACTTGGTAGGTCCTGGGAGTTCTTCTTTCTGTAAGAGAGGTGGGATGGTTTGTTGCTGTGCTACTTATGCCATCCCTAGAAACACCCGGAATGGGTCTTGCTTAATAAAAAGTTATCAGTCTGATACTGCGAGGAACTTCTCCTTTTAGAATATAACACACAAATAGAATGAAATGCAGCTTTTCATGATAAGTCTGTTAGTGGGGGAAGAGGGAGGGCATTTTTGGTCATGTGCAAGAAATATTGCTTGTTTTCTGTTAAGCACTTTTCTTGTTAAGTTGGTATAGTTTGGAGATTCCAAACTTGACAGGTCTTACAGGAGGGGCTTAAGGGCTTACAACCTTCCATATTTACTCTGGAGAACAAAATGTGTGACAAGTCAAGGTGGCTGATGTGTTTCCAGATGGACTTGGAACCCCTTGAGATAAAGTGGCAGAGAGCAGCTACTCCCCTGGAGCTGGGGAAGGCATTTGCTGCCACCTGATAATAATAATCTCAAACTCACACAGCAGAGGAGGGCAGAGTATGCTTTTCCTTCACCCTTCACCAGGTGCCCTGTTGATGCGTACCAGTGTGCCAACACTGGGAACTCTTCCCTGCATCCACCCAGGCAATACTTGTTTGCCAGGGCTGTCCATTCCAGCTGTACATTGCTCTTACCAGGATGCTTGCCAGCTCCTCTTCCTCACACTCACTTGGTTCCTTTCCCAGTTTTTCTCGGGTTGGCTGCAAAGAGCATGGACGTATTAAACTGACGACCGAGCCCCACTGGACTTTGCCCTGTGCAGCTTGAGGCAATCTAGGGCAGGTCTCATATGCAAATTGTGTTTTCTTCCTAGACCTTACTTCTATTTCTGGTCTTTCAACCCATTCTTCCTGGTAAAAATGTTCTCCCTCTCCTTGATTTTGGTTCATGTTTCCCCCCACTTGCAAATGTCCTTCTAGAGCCAGTGTCCCAGCTGGGTCCTCTAGCTCCACATCCTCTGCACTAAGGAGGTTTTGGGGAATAAATCAGCTCCTCTTCCACCCCTACAACCCTGCCCTGAGTAGCACCTGCATGAGCCCACCTCCAGGGCTGGCTGTGCTGAGGAAACTGGAAAGGACACAGCGTGGCAGCGTGTGCTGAGGTGGAGGGCAGACCATCGAGTCAAAACAAAGACTTGTTCTGCTGCTGTGCAGTAACTGGGGCCCCAGGTGCTGCCTCCACACCATGGTGGCTGGAAGGATTTCCGTGGGATGGGAGACCTGTGCCTGTGCCATAAGTCACGGGCCAGGCCAGTACATTTGGGGGTGTACTGCATGTCGCGAGGCATTACCAGAATTTCCTGGATTTCATCCTTGTCACATTTCACATGGTAGAGCACCATATCCTGAGCAATGTCCTTCCGATTCTCCAGCTTGTTCATCTTATCATACGTGTCTGTGTTGAGTACAGACCAACCCAGGAACTGTGTCAGGGACTTGGTCAGGGGAAAAGAAGGAAACGGTGAAATAATCAAAACATCTGTTCCTCAAAGACACAGAAATCTAACACTGCAGGATATATTTTTAGAGAAACACAAGTTCCACTTTGGCCACAAGTCTAGCAATGAGCAACCGTGTGTTTGCTCCCAACTGCTACTTGCTCCTCAGCAGAGCAGCTCCTCAGCTGTTGAGTCTGCCTAGGCCTCCAGAGCATCCATGCTGTGGAGGTTCAAGGACCCTCTGTCCAGTTCAGCGTATGGAAAGCTATTTCTGTGTTGTTGCAAGTGTCACCATGCCTGTGGAAAGGTTGGTGTCACAATGGTGACAGCAGGTCAAGAACCCTCATATCAAGGGAGAGGAAAGTGGTCTCATCACCTTTCACATATGTTTACTCACACCCTGTGTTCGCTCTCAATTTGTTTGCTGTCCAGTGGTCAAACTTTTTTTTTTTTTTTTGCAATCTTTTTGTTTGATAAGAAAAGTGTATTTCAGGAAACTTTCTGATTGATAATAGATGCCAAGAGCTGAATGCCTATATTGGATTGAAACTAGCATAGGAGCATTTCTAAGCAGCAAGCTCTTTAATTACAGCTGCTGTTTGTAGATTCAATAGCTGGCCACCCTTTGTATCTTAGCTACACAGACAATTTCTGTGTAATTTCTTGAGGATTTGCCCAGCCAGTGTGAGCCAGCTGTCATGTACGTGAACCCAGGTCAGAACGGTCGTGTTTGTTAGTACATTGTAGCTGCTCATGGCTAGGGGTCCAATCCAAGAATGCTGAAACAAAATGATGTGAACACAGCTGGGTTTCCAAGACTGAAAAAACTGAATTTTTCATATAGTTGCTTTCAAAACTTTCAAGCTGATGCATAACATCTCTATAAGCCACAAAGAAACTTACTTAGCTGCAAAACACTGGGGGATGATTTGCAGGTGTACAATGAGCAATAGTGACCTCTCTCAACCACATGAACTACTTCCAGCTACAGCAAGGAACAATACCTCCATGAGGGTCTCGTCCTGTTCGTCAAATGGTTTCCCATCTTTTCTGTTATAAAATGTGACAACGCCAACAATTTCTTCCTTTTTATTGACTATTGGCATGGAGAGAACATTTTTGATAGTCCATCCTGATTCATCTAGAGGACCTTCCTTGAAGCAATAGCAAGCAGAAAGACACCATGTACTTAATGTGTTTTCTAAATACATCAGCACTCCCATTTTACATCAAGACTATAGGCTAAAGAAATATTTATATGCCTAATATTGAACCTAAATCACATTTCTACAAACAAAGTAGAACCCTTGATGGGACTGGAAGTTTTCACGGTACCTGAAAGTTAAACATCTCATCTGCAGCAGCATTCATAATGTTGCAAATCTAGGGGATGACACAAAAGAAAAAGTTTTACAATATGGGCGATGGGAAGTTTAAATACCAAAACAAAAACCTGAATTAATGAGAATGCAGCATTAATATGACTTCATCTCAGAAAGCCTTGCTTGATGAAGCTTAAGTTAAGTACTTACAAATCCACTTTCAGCCACATAAGTTGGCAGTCCAGTAACTAGCGCCCAGTGATCCAGGGTAGGATTTCTCAATGAAAGAAAAAGCATAAGGGAAATTAAGGATATATTTTTACTGAAGAATGATCATGGAGCTGAAATGTATCCAGCTGATTGCACAATCCACATTTACATGTTTCACCCTCAGTTACTGAACAGTCTTGTTATTTTCAAAGGACCCATATGTGCAAGCAAAAATTTTTCACATAAGTAAATACTTTTCCTTCAAGGATTCCATACAGAATAACTCATAAATTATCATAGTCTGCAGAGACTTAAGGAAAAGTCATTCCTGGGAGTGGGGGCCATGTTTCAGACCTTCAGCACAAGGAAAGATAAAAGAAAGTTCCTGTCTAAGATTGTCTGCCAGCCTGATCTTTTGAACACTGCTGTACCTAAGCAATGGGGGCCATTTTCTTGCAGCACTTACACTGATGCAAAGTGGTGTGACCAGAACTGGGAAGAACTCCTATTATGTCAGATTTGTCCAAGGTGCCCAAGGCTCCTTTCAAAATTCAATGGCAAGAAGAGAGGCTGGTTTTCAGAAAGAGGGAGTCCCAGTGTGGTATCAAGAGAGGAGGAAAGGCCAGAGGTAGCCTTGAGACAGGGTCAGTGACTGGAGGCTAAAAGAGAAGCAAGAGGAGCAGGAATGACCATGTGAGGTCAGGAGGGTAGCGGAAGGGTGAAGGTCAGGGCTGGGACAGTGGGTGCTGCAACACAAGGGCAATCTGGATGGGCTCACCCACAGACACAGGGAATGATGCCTCAGTCTGGCAAGGAGAGTGGCAAAACTGCAGGCAATCAAGGCAGTTCACTTCTGCATCTAAAAAGAATCACTGGTTGCAGTGACTTTTGGAGCTTGACTTGCAAGCCAGGATCCCAATGCCCTGGAGGAAATCTTTGTCCTGCAGAAATGTGAGCTGAAGCACCAGCTTACATTCTGGCTCTCTTACTCAGTCTTCTATTGGTCCTTTGCACATCTCCTCATGAATGTCTTTAAATCATGGGGAACCTTGGTTTTAGCTACACTCTGTGTCACTACCTAGCATACAGAAACTGGGCACTTACGGGATGACTTTAATGTCTTCTTTTCCATGTAATATATAATCAATGACCTTGTAAAAGACTATTTCCTGCAAATAAAAAGAAGAGCAGTGTTAAAATAAGTGGTGAGGCAATCCAGCCAGACAGGAGAGAGGAGAGAGTTTAAGAAATCTGGTTCTCACGTACCCTGCCATCTGGGGTGCGAGGTCCTGAGTAGGGGGGAACTTCTCCCAGCAGGACTGGCCACAGGTCAAAAAATTCCTGGTTTTAAAGTGAAAGAAGTATTTTTAAAGTAGAAAAGCGTGTTCTGCCTTGAGCCTCAAAGTAACAGCTGCTCTACCATGTTGGTTTTTGTACTGTGTAAACAAGGCATGAAATAATAAGACTAGTTCATTACTAGGCAGCAGAATGGTATATATAAACCAGGAAGTGTCAGGTGCATTATATGGCTGTATATAGTCATATACTGCCTATACACAGGATGGTGCTTCATGCAGTGAACAACATGGGCTGTACTCAGAGCAAATGGCTATGTCAATATTTTATATGTTCTTCATTTTCCAGAGTGTGACCATAGGGCTGATCTACTACTTGCTAGCTTGCTAAAGTGAAAGAATGTTTTATGTTTTTCTTAGGCTACGTTATAATGCTGATCAAAGTGTCTTTAGCACACTAATGATCTTTCAATGTACCTCATCACAAGACAGCATGCTATAAAGGCTCTGGCAACGTGGTGGAGATCAAAGTCCATGGTAGCCTCAGTCAGCCTGACCATGGAATAAAGCAGGGCTCCTATGACAATGATGCTGTGTAACCCCCACATAAAGCTTGCCAAAGGTGCAAACAATCAGAGCTGCAGAAGTAACTTACTTTCTGTGAGCTTATTTTCATGAAACCAAATTTCACCTAAGAGCCTAGATAACATGCACATGGATGAGTCCTTGAGGAAGGTGACTGCTTTGTTGCTGGTTTCCACAGGTATCTCACTATATTTCTGATATCCACAGACTTCGTGAGGCTGTGCTTATGTTGCAGGCTTTGACCAGGATTGCCATGGTCAGACATGTTTGCCTTTCCTTTGTCTTCCTAGCCTCTGGCTTCTTCAACAGTCCCATTCCAGTGATAAGCTCTTCCCTTTCCCTCTCTTTATCCCAGGCTCTTCATTTGCACAATAGATTAAAAGAATGCCAACCAAAGTAGGAATAATGACTCAAAGCTAGCTTGCACTTTGGCTGCCCCAGTAAAACTTGGCTCCTCACATCACCCCTCAATGGATAGCAGCAATGGAGAAAGATGTACAGCACAGGTGTGAACACTCACTTTCTGCTTCGTCATGTCCAGGAGACCTACTGAGTACCGGTCGCAGTTCAGGTATGCTCTCACTGTGTAAAAAGCCTTGTGGAACTGCCTCTCAATGTCGGTCAGTTCCTCGAAAACCTTATTAGCTGACCACAACAGCACCTGCAGGATAAAATCAAAATGTAAGCATAGCCTCTCCTTGAGAGCTGGGATTCCCAAATGTGTTTGGAGTAACAAGAAAACAATTGGGTTTTTATACTACAGTTCCTGAAAAGTACAATAGCAACCTACACTGCAAAATGTAAAAGCATTGCTTATTCACACTTGGAATTACTAGGGAAAAGGCGTCATCATGGAGTGCTATGTAAAAGTCCAGTCTTACAAATATAGCACAAAAAAGTAGTAGTGCCAGATAAAGAGATGTCCCCACTTACATTTTATACCCATAAATAAAATCTTGCATCCAAAACCAGTTAACACCAAAAGTGTTGCAAATTCTGGAGGCTGGAGTTGGAAATATCAGAATTATCACTTTCCTCAAAGCCTTTGCACAGCTGCTTTGTGTGCACATCAGCCTATGATCCTTTTCCCCATCCCATGCCCCATAGATGTACCCTTAAGAAAGCAGTTGCTATTAGGCTCTTGCATTTGTAGAAATGGAGGTTATGCAGCGAATTAGGCAAGTATTTCTCGTGGTACAAGCAGGGTCTTTGTGGGCCTAATGGAGAAAATTTCTTCTGAAATGGTAAGGAAGCCATCTATACAATTACCTAGCTTAGCTAGTGCATGTGTGCCTGTATCTGAGTGTGTGTGCTTTGCTTTCCAAGCCCAGGAGACATGAGGAGCAGTGAGAGCTGTTACTTGAAGCTGACTGGACCTGTGCTTTGAACAAGAAGTACTGTTACATGCCCACAACCAGCAAAAGTGTGTCTTACCTTCTCATTGGACACCAGTAGATATTTTTGACAATTCTGAGCTGCATCAGTCTCTGTTTCTAATCCGTAAATTGGGACAACTCTGCCACTCCTATAAAGTCTGAGGTGTTCAATGTCACTGGCCTCTGAGCATCACTCAGATAGGATAGTGGTGTTGTCATACAAACCATTAGAGAAAAATAAGCAATAGTTTATTTTTGGCATTTTACAGCATGCAATAAGTAATGCTGAAAGCCACAAGCCCAGTGGGGAGGACTAAAAGAAACACCTGAAGAATGGCCAGTTCATGGAATGATATAAAGAAGTTGGGCAAAATGTGTTATATAGTCTTCTAATAAGACTCTTACACAGTATTTGAGCACAAGCAGACTGAACTGTCTTTGCAGAAGCCATTTTACTTGCAGTATCCCCCAGTCTTTGCAGTTGGGATTTCCAATATTAAAATCCTAGACAACCTTTGAGAATGCCATTTGCTCACTCTGTACTTCGGTACTTTTAAGTTTAACACAATGAACCGTATTAACTTTCACACAGACCTTTAGATCTAGATGGCTGAAGGTCTGCCAGTTGAACTACTGACAGAACTAGCAGTGTGTCTTGCATCTCGTTCTCGCCTTCCTCCCTCTCTGTGGGACCTGCTGATGCAGCAGTGATATATGAACACAGGGCTCCTCTGTTCAGCCTCAGACTAGAGCACCCTGTAGGAGACATTATGCCTTCCACTCTTGGGTCTCCTCTTTGGGTTTTAGCCCCTTCCTTACCTCCCCCAGTCCTACTGCTAAGCCTGCAACAGGAATAAACCTTTGCTAGTTCTACTTTAGTTGAGTTACTCAGCATTGCTAGATGGCTGTGTCACCTGACCATTGTTTGTGGTTTTGATTACTGAAAAAATTAGATGAAGAACATTAGATAATGATCTAGTAAATATAAGTGCTGTCCCAAAACTTGTAAAATAAACTTTCATTCTGCATCCATTTTGCTGAAACAGGTGTTTATCCCCCACGGGAAACCCCACTGGAGACAAGAGCATGGCTGCCATGAAGCATAGACACAATTGCATGTCTTCTTCAATGACAACCAGTTGTCTGCTGCAGAAAGTGATTGAATGGTTTCACATCCATCCCAATAAATTCGAGAGTCCTTTCATAACCCAGGTCATGGAAAAGAATGGTGGCTGAATTGTTTCAATTTAGAATAACGTAAAACCCTCATCTGTGTTCATTTCTACTGAGGGAGGCCAATACAATAGGCATATGAGAACCATTTTACTGGCACTAAGGAGGATAGCACTTTTGAATAAGCAGGTAAGGAAAAAATACCACAGTCTTAATTGTTTTGGGAAATCTCTTGGTGCTGCTGGCTGCAGTCGCTTAAATGCCTAGAGAGTGTTTCATAGCCTGAGTTCAACAAAACATAGCTGGTGCCACTGTGTCAGCTCCTGCAGTTTTGCCAACAGCAGCAGGAAGAGGAATTAATGAAGGACTCTGGGGAAGGAGCAGTATCTGAAAGCAGATGGGGGCACCTTTTTCTTTCTGCTCTCCAGGCCCAAATCTCTGAAGCAGATCAGCTACACCTTTGAAACCGGAAGAATGCACTCACTTGGTTTTGAGATACAGCCTAATCTGCATCTTCACTCTTACCTGGCCTCTTCGAGTCTCACAATTGTGAAGATAACTCAAGTGATAAATTTTCAAGTTCAAGGAGGCAAAATTCAGGTACTTCAGAAAAAGCTGAAAACATAAACAATGAGATTGAGTTGAATGCAGTAGCAGCCTCATGCATACTGGATTACATAACACCCCTTTTAGCAACGTCATGGTAGTTCCCCTGGATAAATGTTTTGCTTTGCACTAGCAGGAGATGAGGCTTATCCTACTAGTAACTTCCCTGAAAGATTTCTGAGATAAGCATCCTCATAATAAGCCTCTTCCATTAGTGGGTGAGTCCCCTGTAGTGAAATTCACACCAGTGGACCTTCACTAAAGCAGACATCCCTAGTATAGAAGAGTCAGCGTTACATGGCAAAAGCGACAACTGCTCGACAGAAACTGAGTTACTGACCACTTACTGTTTCATCAGAGCTGGTGAAGTATGGGCCGTTCAGCTTATTTATAGCCAAAATGACAGCAACTAAATCTTTGCCATTCAAGATAGGTGTCGCAAGGATGCTTTTCGTAGTGTAGTCAGTGAGTTCATCAACAAATGGACTGAACTGGGCACACTGTTCAACAGAGAATTTACAAATTAAGCATTTTCCACAATGTCTATAGTCTTAAAACCAAGTCAAAGCACAGCCTCTCGAAGTAAGCTGCCTAAAGGAAGTTTTGCTTAAAAATTATTGAGGAAGAGAAATGAATTTAGCAGAAAATTGGACAATGTACAGATGATAAAGTTAGAATCAAGAGAAATGGCTGTGGCTTCTGAATGCAACGTGCACTTTTCCACTTTTTGCAAAGATCTTGCAAATCATAAGCTTTAACATGTCAAGCTCTGTCAGAACAAGGAGGCTCTCCACTGGTCATTCTCAGATCACTGACATCCTTCATAGTACCTCCTCCATCCTTTCCTCTGACTTCTCATTAACACTGCGAAGTGCATACAGCCAGTTACCACACAGTGCTGCATAGCCACAGTTTATAAACCAGTCTGGTACAGTCACTGGGAAGTTCACTCACCCTCATTTTCCTTCTGCTTTTGCCTGGGCTCTGAAGCTGCACTCAGCTTGCAGCATCCATGAAGCCATCTACCCCTCATTTCTCTTGAAAATGTTCTCCCAGGCATTCCCTCCCATGTTGCTGAGCCTTTGTGCATGGGATGGTATCCCAATGGATAGGTAGGGAAGGTATCCCAATGGAGGATGAAGCTGGCATCAGTGGTATGTGATTCCTGGCACTCTCCCCCTGCCCCTGAGAGTGCCCCACCCCCTTCTGCTCAAGGAGCATTTTGGCAGTGGTTGCAATGTGCAGGTAGCACTGCTACAGACTGGGCTGCCCAGGGAGTCGACCATGAGGGAATTGCCATTCAAATCTAGGAGAGTGCTAGGTCATGCTGTAGGGGCAGCACAAAGGGAAGTCTCCAGTTATTCCTTATGTGAATGTCACTGTCCAGCCATCCCAAAAGAAAACAAAGCAGAGAAAGGGTGGTGCAGGGAAGGCAGATGGCCCATCACCTTGCCTGCACAGGGCATTATTGATACCATCATCACCTGCAAACAGGGAGTGCAGGGATGGTCTTGCTGACCCAAGATCTTCTCCCTGCTCAGTTGAATAACTCATCAGCTACAAGTCCTTCTAGTTGGGGTAGAAAAAGCCCCACAGCTCTGGTCATATTCAGAATGCTGCATCAGAAAGAATAATCACTCCCTTCTCCCCATGCACCTTCTCCCCATACCTCCTCCACTGCTAGCCTTTCTTGCCAATTGGGGTAGACCAAGCATTTAGTCTCTGGGTCTCCTTCAGAAGAACTGCCTTATGGCAATGCCTGAAAGCACTAGAGTGCAGCATTTGACTCACAGCACTGAAATCCTTCTATACTCTTGGAGAAATGTCTGGAGCCAGAGAGCTTTAAAATGTTTAAATCACATTTTGATGCTTTTTTCCTTTCCCTTCCAAAACATGGTTGCAAAACCAAACCAATCTCTCAGTATGTTCTGTGGAGTTTTTGCTGAAGCATTTGGATATGCTCGTACTGAGCAACAAATGGATGGATAAACAGATGGTCTCTTTGTAACTAGCAAACAATAGATGGAGTAATCCCAAATGCCATATTTGGGTCAGATGGATTTTAGTTTTATACCTGTGATTAGAATAAGCGGATTGTTATGGCTGCCATTCAGGTTTACATGATTCAACCCAGGAGTATGGGGGGTAAATACTGTCATGAAGGTACAGAAATAAAGCATTAAGATTCCTTGGATCCCTCCTGGTATTGCAGTGTGCAGTGTTTGCTGAAAGAGTTTTTTTGGTCAAAGTTTGTCTCTTGCTGCTTCTGATGAAGATCACCCGTACGCAGGTTGCAGTTAACTCACCTGCTCCAAGCTCCATCCCCTCTGATTGATAAAAATGCCCCTAAATGCCCTTGGGCCAAGCTTCATCAGACAGCAAACATTTTCAAATGTTATTTGTGGTGGAAAACCCTTTCTGGACTCACTATAAAGGATTTCTCTCTTTGCCAATTACTCATGGAATATAAATGTCTGTGGAAAATTCCATGTGTGTTCCGTTCAGATCTGACTGTGCCTCATTCTCTCTTCTCTGTTGGCCTAGATGTGATTTTTTTTTTTTTTTTAGTTAGACAGGCAAGGTGTGACAGTGCACTTGTTTGCAGGCATTAGCACCTAGTGTAATTAATGTGCTTAGCTTCACCTCACTCCATAAATGAAATTGGAAGCAACTTACAGTCTTGCTATGGGTGCTTTCGTTTCCACTACACAGCTCTTTCTTACACTGCAAGAGGTTTGACCAAGCACCAAGATGCCCTGCTACCTCTTCACCTCTTCACCCCTTTGTACTAGTAAGCATGTGAGCCTTTATTCTACTGAGTGAATGAATAAACAGCACACCTACCTCACTGACATCCTTGATGTTCATCGTTTTCTTGGTTTGCGCAACGTAGCCCACAATACCTATGTCCAAAGGATAGACAATCTCGCAGTCTGGGGAGACCAGGCATTCCTCCAGAGTGCTTCCCTCTTGGATGTTGAAAAGCCTTGTTGCCAGTTCCGGCGTGCCATTTCTCTGCCTGTACATGAAAAGACTACAGCGGTCAGCGTGAATAAGGGACCTGATTCTTCTCAAAGTCTTGAAAACAACTTTCTCCATGTTGATGCTTTCTTGCATGTCTTGGATTAACTCAAAAAGGATTTCACTCTCATTGCTATCCCAGGACTCTGTTCTTAGTTTCTTCTCAAAGTACTGTTTGGCAAAAGCAGGGTTGCCATCAAGAAACTTCTCCACGTCGTCTTCACTAATGCTCATTGTGAATGCCCTGGGTCTTGTGGTAGGTAGTAGTCCAAAGATGTGGTCTATGCAAAGAGCACTTTAATTTCTGATGTAGTTCCTAAATTTTTGTAATAGAAGATGTTGCTTCTAGAATGACCACAGGTGAGGTAACACTGCAAAGAGAGCTTGTCATCAGGAAGAGGTATTCCTTTATAGTGCCGAAGGTGAGTCTGTGGGAGGACAGATCTTCTCAACCAAACAGATTAGATGACCTCTACAAGAGCTTTGGGTCAACTTTCTTCTTCTTAATCTAAATGCAAACAAAAACTGAGTACTCACAATATCTGAAAACACTCTCCTTTCTCTTGACAAGCAGAACACTTACTGAAACAATTATATTAAAGCAGCAGCAACAGGGAAGAACTGCATCTCCTAACATTGAAATAAGCTCTTTAAAGTCTAATTAAATATATACTGCTTGGGCCTAATCCTTGGCTAACAAGGTGAGCATCTTATTATTTCTGCTCTCCCAGCTCCCTGCAGTAGTAGGAAGTGCATCCTTCACAAAAGAGCAGAGTGGTCAGAAGAAAAATAGTGAGGTAATACTGCTCTTTCAGGGCTCCCTCTACTATTGCATCGCTCTTTATCTGCTGCTGTAAGGGCTGTTCTCAAATGGAAGCACCAATCCTGAATGCTTTAGTCCAGGACTTGAACTGAATTTGAAAGGTCTGTGGCCTTTTCTTCTTGCTAGTAAGAACCAGGAGAGGAAAACATGCCTCTCAGTGGCACCCCTTTAGGAAGGAATCTGAAGAGCTTCAGGTTGGGGTGGCTGGGTGGAAACACTCTGAGGAATCACAGGAAGCCCTGCAGACAAAAAAACCAAACCAAACCAAACCAAACCAAACCAAACCAAACCAAACCAAACCAAACTAAACCAAACCAAACCAAACCAAACCAAAACAAAACAAAACAAACAGCCAGGAAGGCAGAAAAATTTCCCTCATCACTATCAGTGGAGAAAGGGTGGGAATTAATGGCTGTGAGGGACAGAAGTTTTTTCACATCAGTGAAGCCACCATGCTGTGCAAACAGCAGGTGAGGGTCAACGTCATGCTGGGAGGCAAAATGCCACAGAGGCCATTGCTCTTCAGGGGAATTAAACAATGCACAAAGGTTTTCATCAGTGGGGAAGAGGGGTAAGTCCCATCCACCACATTGCTGGCAGATAACCAAGGCTCACCTGCTCAAGGAGTAAAGGTCCAGGCTGCCCGTCCCTGTGAGTGTTGGCACTACTGCCAGGAGTGGTGCAAACCAGCCTAAATGTGAATGTGGGTGCCTGGGAGGAGGATGACAAGGAAGAAGCTGTGGTGGCAGTGTTAGAAATGCTTATGCAGGTGGGTCTGGAGCTCAAGAGGGGGACAGGTGGGGAGGGCCTTGACTCCCGTCAGCAGGGAGGACAGAACAGATAGCTGCTGATCCATCTGTGTCCACCCCTGAAACAGGAGGTGAACACCCTCACACAAAGGCATGGGAGTATAGGGGAAGGGTGTTAAGAGAGAAATCCTTTCAGAAGACTGCAGGTAAAACAGTGGAACCGAGACAAAGATCTACAAATTTATTATTTGTAATTCCATTTTCTCCTATTCCCTCTTTCAGTTCCCTGGATCACTGGAGATGCAGTAGGAAAGTTGTTGGGTCAGCTGATTGAATGCCTTAGATGCCTTTATGCTAGCGTGACAGAGACTTGCTCTGGTAATTCTTGCAGTCAGGATATTAAAACAGAATTATTGCTCAAGAAGACTTGGAAGAGGTGATGTGTGGCAGGCATGCATACACTGCCTCCAACATCCATGTTCTAACAAAAGGACAAGGACCTGCTCAGCACTAGCATGGTGGGCGTCTGCGCCAGGTCTCCAGAATGGGGCTGGATGAAGCCTTTTTGTGAGCAACAAGCAGGACTGTCCCAAGAACAGGACTTGGTGGCAGTGGGGAATTGTAATTGCCTGACGTCTGTAGGGATGGCAATGCTTCAGGCTATTCAGCAAGGTCTTGCATGTTGCAGCAGTTTTCTGGGCACAAAGGGTGGCAGAAAGGGTAAAAGGAAATTTTCTTTGGTTTTGACTGGAGGCGAAGGAAAGAACTAGCTGAGAACTTGAAGGTGGAAGACAGTTTAGGTGAGTGAGGCCATGAAATGAGAGTTTGAAACTGGAAAAAACAGGCCATTTTGTAAATTATGTGATCTTGTTAATCTTGAGCAAGAGAAAAACAGACAGAAAGTGTGTAAGCATGGCCAAGTTATCGAAGATGAGTATAAAAATACCATGAATGAGTAAAAATGGAAAGTGAGAAAGGTCAAGATCCAAAATGAGGTTAAATTAGGAACATGAAGGTCAATGAGCATTTTCTGTTATCTTATTGGGAAGAGTAGGAATATCAAGGGAGTATTGAAGGACTGGAGTGCTTAGAGGGTTGTGCGAAGTAACCTCTAAGCTATTAATGGCTTTTTCTGACAATTGACGAAGGATCTGAGGTTCTGAAATGCTGGGAAAAGGTAGATGTAATGATTCTTTCAGCAAAACAGGAAAAGGGAAGAACTGGAGAATTCCAGAACAGACCATTTTAAATCTAGCGTCTAAGACAATACAGGAACAAACACATTTCTGTAAATAACTAGAGGAGATAAGTAACAGCCAGTGTGGTTTTGTCAAGAGCAAACTGTGTGATACTGACATAATTTCCTCTATGCCAGAGGAAGAAGCCTGTGGACAGAAAGAAAGTAAAAACTGTCACAGCTCTTGACTCATGAGGAAATGACACACAAGATATTCTGTCTCTTAAGGTGAGGGCTTAGATGAAGTAGTTCAAAGGTGGTGGCAAATCTATTTGGAAGATGAAGGGGTGTTGTTAGTAGCTCACTAATGAAATATAAGTACTTATGTGGAGAACAGTCATCTGGTGAATTCATAGGGATGAATCACTATCTGGGCTTATCGCAGGCTGAACATGTGTCAACACTATCAGGCAGAAGGATGTGTACATCCATTAGGATGAACCTTCTATTGTATAATAGATTATGCCAAGTTGTACTAAACAATGTGTCACCTGGAAGACAGTGGGAAAATGTGACCTATGAGGAAAGACTGTGGTTTGTCATGTCTCTTTTGAGTCATCTATTTTCCAAACAAAACAGTCCCCAATTGTATAAAAGGCTACTGCTAAGAAAAAGGGAACAGTCTGTTCTCCATAGTTATGCAGGACAGGAGATTTCAGATCTGCACTGAAAGGGCTTCCACAACAGTGGGAAGAGATGGCTCTCACCTTATCTTAGATACCCCTAGAAACAGAGATGCCATCCTTTTTTTGCAGTGAACACCTCTTGTCAGAAGTGATGCACGTGTAATGATGCCAGCCTGCTGGAAGTGGTATGGACAAAAAACTTCTTATAGCTGGAGGGAAACCCATTTTTCAGTGGGTCCAGCCTCCCACCATCCATGGCCTCTCAGGTCAGTTATATGTGAGGAAACCATTGCTTGGACACCAGGAAAAGCTTCATTTGCAGCAGTGTAAACCTTCCAGAGGGAGTAATTTTATTGGTGATTAATGCATGATGAAAGCTGGAGGCATCGCTCTGTCTTCCAAGGCCTCCACCCCAGTATCAATGTGGGCCCTTCCAGTGTGCTGTAAAGTGCAAGCCTTGTTTCATCCCACAATGATGGGGAGGGAAAAGGACTGGCTAAAGTAAAACCAATTTAAAAACTTGCCAGGGGGCTAATGCATTTTGGATTCTGGTATCCCAAAGGAATGAAGTTTCCTGTCACTTGGACTTCAAAGAAGGTCTGAAGTGAAGTGTAGCTCCTCTTACAGTCTAGCATACTGTGGCCTGGCAGTTTTTCTGATCTAGCGGACTTTCTTTGTGCCAGGTTAGATTTGTGGCAGGACAGAAGGTCTCCTGGGAGCTAATAGCCATTTCCCTGAATTATTTCAACATCCAGGTATCAGGCTGTGTATGAAATGGCTATTACAGCACAGAGCTATACAGTCAGAGGATGTACTCAGGATATCCTATGTGTGAACAGAAGGTCTTTTGGGCTTGGTAACATATGGTGTTTTCCAGGCTGTATGGCTTCACTCTTTATGTATAAGCTGACATAAACAGGTTTTGATATTAAGGGGTATGCAAATCGCTGTACAAGCTTTTCAGTTGTGAGCTGAAAAATTGCAAATGGGTGAACTATTCATATTGAATCGAAGCTGGCACTCTTTTGGATCCAAACCTCCCAGATATTCGCACTTTGTTTGGTATGAAACATTCTGTTCAGTTCAAGATAAATATTTTTGTTTTGAAACATTTGTAAGAAAAACAAGCAGTGTCCAACAGTGACACTCCAGGGTCAAAATATGAATGATCCCAGCTCAGTTCCTTCCTCTGCATGTAGGATTTGAAACTTAACAAAAAGATTTCACCTTAACAAGGGAAAAGAATAAAGGTCCTAAAGTAAGGAAGTTTATAGCTGTGGAAGTGGAGAAACTGAGGCGATATTGGTTAAGCCAAGCCATGGCTGTATAACTGCAGTGCAATTGAAATCACATAAGAATGGCAGGTGGAAATCTAAATCATCCATGCAAGGAGAGTGAGCAGTGCCAGAGCAAACGCCTTGGAGGTGGGTGGTAGGCTGACGTACCCAGAATTTAAAGTGTGGTGCAAAGGCTGCAGGTGTTCCCTAGGCCTTCAGGGAAACTTAGGTGGCACCATGAAAACCATTGCTGGCATACCAATGATAACTGAGGCGGATACAGTCTAAGCTTGCAACAGGATAATGCTGTTTGATTGGACTTAGGCAGACAATGGAGGATTTTGAAGGAGGATGAGGCTGCTATTTTAGGAAACTTGCACTAGGCTGTCACACAACATAATAATATTTGAGCACATGTCGTTGCACACATTTGTTTTTAATAGCTTTAAAAATTAATTGCAGAGTTGGCATAAGACCTCTGCCTTGGTGGGTGTTGGTGGATGTCCTTTAAACAGTGTTTGAAATGGAAACCTCAAATGCTTAAGCTGACCTGAAGGCTTGGCTGGTGGCTGGGACAATGAGCTGGAGTCTCTGGGAATAAAATTCCACCCCTCCCAAAAACTCATATCACAGTCTCTCCCCAGTCCTAGAATGGACACTACTAAAAAACTCCAACTGT